GCTTCAACTTCCTCAAATGCAGTTTACGTATGTTGAGTCTCCAAAGAACATGTCAATAAGAGAGCAAGATTTCGATATCGACACTAATCTACGTGTCTTGACAATCTTTGTCGTAATAAACCTTTTAACTGCTTTATTGGTTATGTTATTACCTTAAGTCTGTCCCCTAAATATCAAGTACCTATTTTATAGCGTACTAACAGATGCCACCGTGTGAAAATGTAGAAATAATTAATAAATCCTCATGTCATTCGACAACTGAGCACAAAAGAACTAATATTCGTAGTAAATATTGATAATTATAATTAAGTTCGAGGATAAGTATGGGAAATGGAAGAGGAAAATACCTTCCTAATCGTTACGTGTTTTGATATGAAGGATGATAATGCGAATACACTTCCTACGATTGTTCCATGGAATACCAGACGACCGCAAAATTAATATATGCAATAAACAAGAAGGATTTTAAAAAAAAACAAGTCATTTAAATTAGGAGATTATCAATGCAACCTGAATGGATGATAACCGTTTCCTTCTTTTGGACGACAGTGATTGCATAGAAATCGCTTTGACACCGACAGTGGTTAACTGTTGTTCATTACTAGCATCCGCTAAAATTTGCTCAAATGAAAACTTAATCAAACTTTGAAGTCCTCTGGTGCTCAGTATTAAATAATACTTTAAGGGCTTGTTTTTGAATCCCGCGTGATTCAGCTGCGTATGCGAGAGGCCTTTGTAGGTTTCTCGTAATTTACTTAAGATATTCAAATCACATCTTCATCAGACAGCTATAGATGACGCCAATCTCCGCGAGCAGGGGACAAATTAGTCAATGTGACCCTTGAACTGGACCAAAAGATTTGGATGTACCAATGAGAACACGGTTCTACTTTACGGCCGAATTTGTGTAATGGGCTTACCCTAGGAATCTTGCATTATGTAGCAATTTTTCTTTGTGAGGGGTTTTGCATGAACCACTTATGCTTAAGTGTTATAGGCCTGTTGACTTAATCGGTCAGTGAATCAAATATGTGGCATCTAATTTGTCGCTTACAAGCACTTCCATTTAAACAAGACATAAAAATTTAACCCGAGAAGTAATGTTCGGATGTTTTTGGTAACTCATCATCAAGCCAATCCAATTGCATAGAAATTGGAATTATAAGACGTTTACAGGGTTTTTTACTGTCTTAGGGGTTACTAAAACGCATCGTTCTCACGCCGCCCGCATGACGAGGTCGGCACGTTATCGTTGTTAGGGGAAGACAGGGCAAAGACATGGGCTGTTTGTGATGTTTGCACGTCCAGAACGTGAAGCACACATCACTGTTATCAAGGGGTTTAGGAGGTGGACGATAACTGTCTGGAGTTGACGTTGTCCGCTGAAGACTGAGTGCCAGTGTTAAAGTCCAGACGGAAAATCTCTGTTTTCGTGAAGTATGCTCCGCAGTTGCTGGAGTTCTCCCTCAACAGCATTAGGAGGGCGGATGCGCCGAACTATGGGTATCAATCTCGAAATCTAACTGTGTCTACAAGTTAGGGGAACGATAGTGTGACAATTAGTACATTATCCCGTCCAGGTTTTCTTTCGGAATACCTTACGCTGAATAGATTTTCCCTCTTTTCTGTGCAGCAATTTATCGAGAAATTCAATTTTATTTCCTGTCTCAAACAGTGCAGCGAACATTAGCGAGGAGTGTGCACTATTAAAATTTTGAACCTGGGCGTCGATTTCGGTAGCGAAACCCACTTGGCAGAAAATGTCGTATGTGTGTAGGTTGTAGACGCCGAGTACGTTAACAGTATGCCGTAACGTCGTCTTCTCTACTTTGCCTATAAAAAACAATTTGCGAAAAACGGAGTAAACGACGAGCCCATCGATACGCTTTTTATCTGCCTCTGTTGTTGGTCATTGCAGGCATACGAGTATTTCGTGTGCGACGTTTATATAGTTCTTTTAAGGGATAATGTAATTGCGTGCTTGGTCTTCCACTTATAAAGATAAATGCGCGTACTACTCGGTATTCAGACATCGAAAAAGTAATGCGTGCCACAGTCATGCAGTTCATGAAGGCATTTCTAGGTGGTCATGATCTCCGGAACCACATCTAAACACGTCATTTTAAGGCTAAGTTTCTTAGCTGTCAGCTAACTTGCGCACTCTTAAAATGACATACGTAAGCAATCTTTTTGAAACAATACTGCATTCTATTGAAGATTGTGTATTGTAAGTTAATAAATAATTGCATATGAGTCTGTCTATGACGGAATCATAAAAAACTCCCGTTTTGGCTGTCAGTATCTCAACCGCTATTGTCCTGTGGGGACATAAGATGTGGATTTCATGTAATTTGCATTAAAAACAGGATTTCACAAGTAGCAGAATTGGCATACAACGTCAAAATCACTAGCAATTCAATCATTAGCAAGCAGCAGCTGAATTTTAACGATTTCGGCAGGCAAGAGCATACTTTTGTCTGCTTAACACCACTCGCTGAAGATATGTCAAGCCTGGTTAAGTCTACGGCGCAGTTTTGGTGATTTTTCAGAGCGCAGTTTGGCACACTGCATCGAGTTCTTTGTCGGTGCGCTTGCAATTCGGTGACATCATTTCACCCATCTCGGGCCATGAAAGTTTTACGCTTTAAAGGAGCTGTCAGTCATCGTCGGCAAAGCAAAAGGTGTGTGAAACTTTTAGCTGCCGAATGCGTCGGCTGTGGGGTCTGCGGCGAGCCCCTTAAATCTCACAGACCACAGGGTGTAGCGGACTTGCAAAGTCTTCGGCCTGGGTATTGAAGTCAAGAACAGGACTTTGTTTTGCGAACCACCCAGCCAGACTTTGATTTGCTCGATTATACTCAGATGGTAAAATCGTAAAGCCAATGTAGTGTTCGTTTTTGAAATATCCCGCTAATGATCCTTTTTGTCTCAAAGCAAACAAGAAACCAATTAGAACAGATGGGATGGACGTTGGTTGGAAAACCCATAACGCGATAAGAAAAGACGTTAATTTACAGTGTACCAACTAACATCTTCCTGTCGTTCTTTAGTATGGATGATTAGGAAGATTTCTGCAAAAACCTATTTCCTTTGTAACGCTATGACAATGCCAAAAAAGTCAACGGCGCTCTCGTTATTATAAAAAACGAGCGCTAAGTTTTAGTAAGAGTTAAACGCTGGGTATTTATAGATAGTTAAGCTTAGGCTGATCCATGCGTCATAAGTTCACTACATACTGATACAATGGGAGGGATCGTTGGTCCTTTTTGGATACATATAACACTTGATATTTACAGCGTTCTCTTCTGACTTAGTTAACAGAGATCCAGTTGGCTATATGGTCATCTACTCGAGATTTAAGGTCTTTTTTTCAGACCGAAGAAGCCTGATCCAGATTCTCTTAGGTCTCCAGGTTGATCTATTAATGCTTTCCTTGGGTCTTCTGAGTGTCCTTGTATCGCCATTATCGCTACTGATGACTATTGTCGTACAGATGTCACCATTTCACATTACGATATATCGGCTCCGATGCAGAAAACGTTACATCAGTATGGCATAGATCAGCCCTCTCACGCAAGTTAGAGACACGCCGTTCAACCCCCGTTGTGTGAAATCCTGGTGTTTGTGTGTATGGGGGGCCAGGTCTTGCTGTGGCGCGCGCAGTCATGGTCAGTCGACCATGACAGCCACCGCGCCCACTACCCACCCCAGTCTGCTGACCGGCTCGGACAGCGACTGGGGTGTGGGAGTGGGAAGGGAGAGTGAGGTCGACGACTCAGCGCACTTTCTCCTCACTATAAACAATCTGACGCGCTTGAAGCTATCACGGTGCGCTAAAAGCCGTGGCTTGGAAGGTTGCCAACTGACGGGGTAACTTGGACCTCCTCCTTGACTGGAGGCGGTCCGAGAGTCAGGCTGCAAGGGCTCATTTTTAATGTGGCCTTTATGGCACTCACACCACAGTGTTGGATCCGAGCCAGGCGTTGGCGGTACGCCTAGGTGCGGCTTCGGTCGTGCCAGCTACCAAATCTCTGTTGTTGGTTGAAATCCTGGTTATTGTTGTGTGAACCAGGGGGTGTGATAAACGCCAAGGTGAGGATCCGTCCGAGCCATCCACCTGCGGCCCCCTCGTTTCCGGTTTTCTGGACTCTGTCTTCACACCGGGCTCGAGCGAGGGAGGATGGGGGAGTATAGGTAGATGCTACGCAAGTCTACCGGCAATATAAACCCCTACGTAAGTCACTGTCCTTGCTCCAACTGCTGCTGCAACTGTGGGACACATGGTGGACATCATCGAAACCGATGGTCAAACTGTCATGGCATAGATCATGAAGACAATTGTCCGTTTAACGGTTTCCAGTCACAGGATCCTGTCCTGCCACTTCAGCTTTAGAACCATGTGGGGATAGATGAGGTGAACGTGATCTAGCCTTCTAGCTCAGTTGGTGTAGGTGGTGGTTTCGGCAGGATTTGACTGCCTTGTACATGTCGACAAAATTGTTAGAACGAAGGCTTTGACTATTCCAGGCCTAGTTTTTGGGAGTCAATCGGACAATTCGTCGTTGGTCTTAATAATTCATTTAATAATTTTAGGTTACAGGATGCCCGTAGAGAGTCCCAGTTATCACACCTGCAATGATCCTATCTTATTTCATTCGAAATAATGAAAACCTTCAAGACTGCTTCTAGGGACTGGTCTCTTCGCTTCTATTGACAATGTGTTTGGGCGCGATGCGCTCCGATCGGCCCGACGATGGGAAAACGTCGCCCTTCGGGGGGCCTCCACGTATTCGCAGATCCGGTTTCTGCACAGGTTTCTCGACAATAATGTGTTGCCTAAATGTGCTTCATACAAGCCTCCGGTTAACACAGATTTAGCGAGACGAGCAGTATTTCAACTTGGCGGAAGGATGATCCGAGTGCTCCTCAAATATTGTCACGCGAGACTTCGCAAGTACCGTCAAAGGATTGACCAAGAAAAGACCAGATGCTGTGAGTTCATGGGTGAGATCGGTACAAATCTGCTCCTGCAGAGGATAGCTGAACAAGCCCGCGAACAGAGAATGATACGCGACGCAGCACTGGAGAACAAATTCCGAAAGCTTCCCTATCCAACGTCGTCCAGAGACGACAAACTGGTACACAACCTGTCGTTAAAGGAGCTGACAAAGGATCAGATGCAGGTTTTAAGGCATGAAGCTTCATTCAACACGACTGACGCCAAACCTGTTAACATGATTGCGGCAGTGGAATCAATCCTTAGACGGAGGCAACGGAGGAGACCAAGAGCCTCATCCGACACCAAGTGTCGTCTCTCCTAATGGCCCACAGGCCGCGGGAAGTGCTTTTCAAGGTCGAACGTGATGCTCTTAGAGAACTCAAAGCCGACAAAGACTTGGGCATCGTGCCAGCGGACAAGGGGCGCTCCACGGTTGTGCTAGACAGGACAGACTGCCTTCAAAAAGCCAAAGGTTTGCTGGAGGACCGCCAGTTCTATGTCCCATGTGCAACGAACCCTGTAAAAGCGCTGACACGCGAAATCAATGCTACGTTGTTGGTCTTGGAGAACGCAGGTGCAATAACACCGACCGACAGACGCATAGGGAGACCCCAGGATACGGTTTTGGCCCGATTCTATGGCCTCCCTAAGGTGCACAAAGACGGCGCTCCTCTCCGACCCATCATGTCGCTCAAAGGTACTCCAACGTACGGACTGGCTAAGTGGCTGTTCCGGCGTCTCAAGTTCCTGACCGCTGAGTCAGACACCACGGTCTCTTCGTCGGCAAAATTCCTGGAGAAACTCAAAGGGGTAAGCCTCCATCCAAATGAGGTCATGGTATCTTTTGATGTTACATCCCTTTTTACTTCGATTTCCCAGAACCTGGCGATCGAGACAATCGAGCTGCTTCTACAAAGCAAATACGATGAAACGTCGAATCCTCTTGGACGCGCCCAAGTACTTCAGCACCTGAAGTTCTGTCTCAAGACGTACTTTACGTTCGACGGGACAATCTACGAACAAGTGAAGAGCACACCAATGGGTTCGCCGATTTCGAGGTTCATCGCCGAGGCGGTCCTACAACGGTTAGAGCCGCTGGTCGTCCAACACCATATACCGAAGTTCTGGGCCCGGTATGTGGATGATACGTTCGTCGTCATCGATTGGGATGAACTGCTGACATTCAAAGAACGTCTGAATGCGGTCCTCCTGGACATACAATTTACGATGGAGGAGGCAGAAAACAACCAGCTGGCCTTCCTGGATCTCCTCGTATGCCGCAAGGAATCTGGTGGACTAAAGATCAAAGTGTTAAGGAAAGCGACAAATACGATACAAGTACTGAACTTCAACGGAAAACACCCAATCAGTCACAAAAGCAGTTGTGTAAGGACGCTCTCTCGGCGTGTCGAAACGCACTGCAGTAAGCCGGAAGAGAAGATTGCATAACTACAATACCTCCGACGGATCCTCAAAGCCAATGTCTACACGGGCAACTTTGTCAACCGGTGCATACGCAAAATGGACGAAAGGCATAATCGCACTGACACCAAAGTTTGGTGAGCGCTTCCATATGTCAAGAACGTTTCGGAAGCTGTTGGCCGCCTTCCCGCACCACTTGGGGTTGCAGTTGCACAAAGGCCGGAGGCAACCATTAGGCGTCAGTTGATGAAACCAAAAGACCCACTGCCACGGCAAGAAACGTCTGGAGTCGTTTATCGGATCTGGTGCAGTTGCGGGCAAAGCAACTACATCGGAGAAACCGGAAGACAACTCCGAACGCAAATGGACGAACACGCTGCAGCAGTGCGGAGAAATGACGCCAGCTCTCAAGTTGCGGCTCATTCGACGGGTTCCGGCCACACATTCAAATTTGACGAGGCCGAAATTCTCGCAAGAGGTGACAACCGCGTGAGTCGGGAGCTGCTTGAGTCATGGTTTACTGGCCCCCAGTCTATTAACAAGTGCAATGATCTTCCCATTCAATACAGCGTGCTGAGACTTCGTCTAGGCGGAGTAATTGGCCACGCGGGCAGCGCACTGGTGAACACTCCTCCCAACACTCGGGGCAGCGCGTCAGATGGTCGAGCAGTCATCACGCCTACATCCAACGCACTTGATAAAATTGCAGCAAGTAACGACGCGAATATTGGCCATCACGCCACGTGCAACGATCCCTGATGAAGGGGAAGGATCCGTGAATATTCATAGGTATGCGGTGGCATGGTTACTGCATCCTATAAATACTGCAGCCGCATGTACATGAACCACCCTTATCTGCTTATGTCTCTGATGATGGATTCGAACAGGAATCCGAAACGTCAGGCTAATTAAGCTCGTGTCCCGGCGATCGTGTCTTCTTCTTCAAGACTGCTTACTGGGACTCGTCACTTTGCTTCTGTTGGCAATACTTCGAATTCTATATTTCTTTAACTTTTTTATCTATTACTTGACATTTTCTGCTAAATCCCACTTTTGTCATGCTTTTTATTTAAATAACTTTCCTAATACTGCTTAACTTATCGTGATGGTTACTCCACCCAAACGGATGGGAAAAAGGACATTCTTTTTGTCAACAGACCGTGTTGACATTGGGATCCAAAAATATTGCTATATTAGTAAAATGCTCACTTCCGAAACTATATAATGTTTCTAAGGTTGGCCGGCGCTGTCTGTGTCAAATACTTCATCATTTGCTCTCAAGCCAACACAGACGATTTTAATATGACTTAAACATTATTAACGTTCAACTATTAATCGATCGGTATGGGATCATGTCAGCCCGTTGCACGTAAATTACAGTGTGTGACCTATCTCATGAAATGTTGGCTGAAATTCTGAAATGCGTTTTCGATTAGGAAGGATTATTTGGTCGCGGTTGTGTAACTGATTATATTAAGGCATAATCTTATAACTTTCTGAACTTGGCAGGATGTCCGCTTTTAAATGCATTTCTTTTCAATCTCCTGTAGAAAGCGTGCTCGGCAAAAAATGGCTGCTCAAGTAGCATGCAATTTTCCCACTGATTTTCGATGCTCTTGGAAATTCAATTATATTTTATAGAAACCACAAACAAAAATATGCCTTCTTTTAGTCAATCAATAGAGAATCACGTCTTCTTTATATTTCATACTTAAGAAAGGAGAATAATTAGGTTTTAAAAAAGTTTCTAATTATGAGACTTTTCAAGACCGCGATATGTCCATTGACATATCATCATACCTGGCCGTTCACCACTGCTCCTCATGAAATGTACAACATGGTGCGCATCCATTGCAATATTTTATGGACCCTGTATGATATCTCTTTAATGGCATAGAAAAATATGGGATTTTCCTTATGCGGAACGCATGCACCTTGTAGAGTGTAATGACTATGCGCTAATGCGACGAATGATCGGCCTCCAAATTATTCGGCAATTAGGAAACTTTTTTAAAACCTAATTATACTCATTCGTTAAGTATAAAATATAAAGAAGAAATGATTGTGCAATAATTTACCGTACTAACAACACAGGTATTAGTTAAAAGCTGACGGATTTCAGCTAAAATATTCATATCAAATTTCGGACCGTGCCTGAAAAGGCCTGTTTCGAAAGAACTACTCCAAGTTCGCGCATTAATTTCCTCGGAAATTAAGCAAGGCAAGAAGAAATGATTCTCTGTTGATTGACTTAAAGAAAGCATATTTTTGTTTGTGGTTTCTATAAAATATATTTGAATTTCCAAGATCATCAAAAATCAATGGGAAAATTGCATGCTACTTAAGTAGCCATTTTTTGCCAAGCACGCTTTGTATAGGAGATTAAAAAGAAGTGCATTTAAAAGCCGACATCCTGCCAAGTCCAAAATGTTATAAGAGCATGCCTTAAGATAATCAGTTACACAACCGCCATTAAGTAATCATTCCTTATCGAAAAAGCATTTCAGAATTTCAGCCAACATTTCATGAGATAGGTCACGCACTGTACATTTATATCGAAGGAGTTAAAATTAACGGAGACCGATCATAGTCAAAAATATTACACAGCGATTCACATCAATCGCATTATGAATTTTTATGGGTCATCTAATAAGGATATTTGATTGACGAATGCACATTGTTGAACTTGGGTGTAGTAGTGTTGTCATGTTCATTTACTACAACTCGCACTGTTTGGGTAGTAGAACGATGATGAATAATCAATGAACCCTACAAATTCCTAAAGATACGATGGCCACGCCCGCATTGATGCGTACGTATGCGCAAGCATAATGTGTGACACATATAATCGGTCCAAATTTAGCACCTCTTCTTGTGTGAACGCAGAGATATTTTCTACTGTGTGCAATTTTATATTCCTTTGTGCAGCCTGCTCGATGTGAATTTAAACATTGCATATCGTGTAGCGAGTGTAAATAAACCTTCTGGATTGATCAATTACTGCGCCATGCACATGCCTCATTCTGGTTGTTATCTCTGTCCATCGGATACAAAACTGAAGTTGGACGTATTTACATATAATCAAATCGATAGCTGGCCATTTAAACGGGTGCCCAACTACAACTTTATTGGCAAGGTTTGGTTTTGCTGCCCCACCTGATCGATATCGCATGGTAAGCTTTCCAAAAATATAGGAAGGTTGAGTAGGCTGAATTTATAACTGTCATATTGTTCGCATCTTCACTTCAATTTTAATCCAGCGAGTAACTCTGCCACGAGGAGAGGAGTGCTTATAAGCCAGTCTGGGTAACGTTCTTTATCAGTTCACGCGCCCTTCCCTGCGCGTACTTCGATCCCTGCTTGCGCCCTCTCCATTATCCTGATCTAACAAGTGGTCAGGTAGACCTGCTAATGGAATTGTTTGGACGGTGTAAGACTCCCTCGGTTCCATAACAACAGCTATGAACTGAGAAGTACCATGCGGTTCCCACAGCGGCCTTCCAGTTGTGATTTTGACCTCCTTATCCTGTACATCCAGCGAATGGCTGTGTCAAGGAGTGTGTGCAAGCCACCTTCTCTCACATCCCCGCGCGTACTTCGAGCTCTTCTTGTGCCCTCTTTCCCTTCCTAATCCAGGGAATGACAATGTTAGACCTTTCAACTAATATTGTTTTCGTAAGCATATCATTTGATATTACTCACATGGAGCTGCAGAAACGATCCTCGCCACTTTGGTAAGGAGCGCTCATCGAACGTTCTTACGGAACTTACTCGTTCTGTTGTGCCTTGCGGGCTCTCTCTCTCTCGAGTCCAACCGGCAGCCGCACAGTGCTACATGATATAGGCAGAATGTTATTACCGACAAAGACAAGGGAGACTGGAATGGCCAGTTCTGGCTTATTAGCCGTCGTCAGCCAGTCATACCCAACCCCGAAGTGTGGAACAACCGAGGCTCAACCTAGCGACCTGTTTGTTAAAAATCAACGTCTCTAACCACTGGGCCACGAGCCAGTTGCCTTGTCGGTCGCGAGTTCGAGCCTCAGGTGTTCCACACTTCGGGGTTGGGTATGACTGACTGACGACGGCTAATAAGCCAGAAATGGCCATCCCAGTCTCCCTTGCCTTCGTCGGTAAGACCATTCTGCCTTGACACTTTATTTGTAAGATAGCTCTTGATTCACAGGTTTTTAAGAAGTACACATCCGTCAAGAATATCTGTATGGACTGATTAAACGGTCTGAGCAGTGAATTAGTTTACATCTGCTTCTTTATACAGGGCTTACTAGGTGGTGTGCGCAAGATACATATTATCCGGAGCGACCACCTATTGGAAAAAACGATGAGAGGCCAGAGATGCCTTTGCTATCATAAAGGACGTTCTGTGATGACTGTATTGCGTGCCACAGGAAGTCAAATACCATCTCATGATCATGAGGGCACCACTGTGCAGGAGCAAATTCGACATCGTCAGCACCTACGTCCTGAATGCGATGAGGGGAAGAATAAGCTCTCTTTTTCCTAATCATATGCTTTTGACATTATATTTAACTGAATCCTTTGAAAGCGAATGGTTAGTCGATGGATCGTGGTTACAAAACTGGAAAAAGACGTAATTGTCTTCCGAATGTAAATAAGGACGAATTTGTTATGCATTTTTTTGCACGATGTATGATTGAATGTCCAAGGGCATCGAAAATCAATGAGAAAAATTTATGCTACGTCGATAGCCATTTTTAAGGAGCGTTGTTTCTGCATGCGGCCGAAAAAGATCGTTCAAAATTCGGCATCCGCAGGTGCCGCATGTTGGAAAATGTTAAAACAGAACTTAAGTGATCTTTCTGAAACGAAAGCTCATTTCAAATGTTTAGTTAACATTTGACGAGTTAGTCCACCTACTATTTAAATGACGACTGGTTAAATTGCGGCCGTTAAAACGCAGGTTATATACCGAAGAACGGTTTTAGGTAAGGTGCGCAGGAGTGATTCGAGCATAGTCTCAGGTGTATTGATATTCAGCAATTTGTTGCGTGTATCACCTGAATTTTATTTTAATAATTATCTCGTTAAATTTTACGTCTGCTCTTTTGCCAGAAAATCAAGACGCACGTGTGCCGTTACCAATAAGCATATTATATTTTCCTATTATTTGTGCAGTATAAATTCCAAAACCGCCCCAAGTGTGCTTCAGACTATGACTTGCAAAAAAGCCTTCGAGGTGAAATCTAGAACACTCAAGAAGCAGTGCTGATTTGTGCTAGAAGGTGCTTTCATGAACGTCGTCGATGGTCAGAAACAAATTGTATCAAATGCAGGCTACTACTTCCTTTCATGAAACACATTGTAAACCGTCTTCGTATGCAACCCAATATCTGTAAAACATATTTCGCTACTATGTTGCAGCCTTTACAAAAGTCAGACGCATTGCAATGTCTTTCAAAAAGAAACGCAATACACACGTGCACCGAAAGGGTGTATTTGGCACCGGTTGGTTCACAGTGGCTGGCTGCGGTACCGTCTCTCAGGTTAATCCAATTTTTTAGGTTTGCAAATTTTCTGGCTAACTCTTTGGTCCAGTTATATGGTAACGGCATGCACTGCGATACACCGAGATGGGCCTAATCAGTAGATACACCTTATTGCTATACTATCTGCATGAACTAAATTGTAACGGCCATGATATGTACTCAAAGTTTGCACAATCGGCACGGCGATGGGGAGAGACTTAATCACTAATGTGTAAATTAAGTGAATGAACTCGTCATACGGAAAGTACACTTGATATAAACGGTTGCAATGAGGCTTGACGGCAGTGTGCTGAATAATTTCGCCAAACAACGCAGAAAGTGCCAAGGTTGTAATGTCAACATGCTGCTGGCCATGTGTTTGTGGAAGCCCATTGACGTGAACTACAATTTGGATTCCGTGGAATGGGCAACATATTTTTTTCCTCGCCGACCACCTCTGTGATATAATTCTTGAAAATCGTGGACAATACACAAACGACCGAAAGAATCATGGTTTGAAGCCATAAATCAGAATGCATGGGTTAGACCTTCATTTTCTGACGACGAAATTTGATTTTCGAATCATGTTATTCTCATGTTTGCTTCTGAGCTGATTTGATGTATTGTCCGGCGGATGTGTGAAGTTTTTTCAATCAGCCGCAACCAGTCTTTGAACGAGTTTTGCGTTCTCAATTATCCGTGAATAAAAGGACAACGTCTCATGAACAGATTTTTAATGCAGCCTTTTTCAGATTTCGGCCCGTACTACCGATAATCGTATGATATAATATGCTCATGAATACGGCAGAAATCACTATAAAGTCCCGGATGCTATATAATTGCTACTAATATCAGCATACTTACTGCCTTCACAGAATAAAAGATATTGATTCAAGGTAATTTTTAGTAACTGTGAACATAAATTAAAACGGCAATTGTATAATGCAGTCCGGGCACCTAGACTTGTTATGCTAAAATAAAATATATTGTTCCATGTTGTGTGAGGTAACTCACTAAAGTTAAGATGATGAACGTTTGCTCGCATTTAATCCCGATCAGAATACTATAAGGCTTTAAACGGTCGTAAAGTTTACTTATTCTTGAAATCCCGTTAGAATTTTATCTTGCCGCCTTACTATCCAAAGTGTTTTCTTAAATTGGAAAGGCGGGATAACAATGGCAGATATTTTGGAAGTTTATTATGTCTAGTAAGTGTTCGCCCTTCGAGCTTAACTCTTCGCGAAGTAGCCGTTCTCCTCCATTATTGCATGAACTTACTGACACGACTAACCGGAAACTGTTCGTTTAAATGATCTTGTGCAACCGCATTTTGACTCCAGTACCGAGGTTAATTACATGTAGGATTTTCTTGAAACTTTGGTTCAGTTCATTTTAACGTATTTAAGGAAGAGTAGGTATTTACATTTGAAATCCTTATTGGTTGCACGCAGAGAAGTATAAGGAGAGATAAGAAAAGAAGTAAAATGATATTCTTAACCCGCACGTTTCTTAAAAACGAAAATGCCAAATCTTCGGACTTATTTTAGTTATATTGACGCGGATGTCGGCATCATTTTCAATTTCTTGTTTTCCTTAAATTACATTGGTAAGGACCTGATATGTTAAGGAGGGTCATTGGTAATATGTACAGACCTCACAAGGTATCCGAGGTCTTGTGTACTGGCCATGTTTTTTGGGTTTAGGGATAGCAGATTCGGAGGGTGTTTTGGAAATCAACAAGTTCTTTTTTTCCATAGCAACGTATATCGTACGTTTAATGCACTCGATAATTTATGGTTTCGTGAAATGTCTTTCTATGGCACATGTACGTGCCACTCCGTGAGCGCAACCTGTTTGCAAGCGTCTGTTCCCCTTTAACGAAAAGCGTTTGCTGGATCTCTTCTGATTAAGGCCGCACCGGCGGTGAACATCATTTAGCCATAGATAGTTACATCCGCAACAATGTTTGCTAATGGCATGCATTCACAAATCTACCTAAAAGTAAATTAAAGTCACTCATGCAAAATTATGATTGGCAATGTGAGAGAAATAAGCTTCATCTTCGGACACATAGCCATCTAGCATTATTACTGAACGTAGTTAGAAGGATTTTGTCGATTCTAAACCGAATACTTACTAGAATGACATAAGATCGCTACGTCGTCCGAAAACCCATACAATAACGTGAATAACTTTTGGACAATATGCTTAATAGTATAAATCCTCAAAAACTAAATAAGGTTAATTGCTCTAATAATGCCACCTTTATACCGCGCTCGGTATAGGGCGAGCGGGCGACAGACTGTTCGTGTACTTTAATGGTGTAATACTTTGCAGTGCGTAGCCCGCAGATCACGTACGAGTGTAATGATGCGCGTTTTCTGATGGTTGGCAGGTCGACTGTACTTTGTTTAGTGAAGACAAATTAATCAGCGGCTTATACTCACGTGTTCTTTGTTCTTAGAAGACGACGGCTACGAGCTTCATAGACAGCAATATTTCACCAATGAAAAGTAGCACGCATACGATGACAGGCGAGTATTGCAGATGGGTGGAACTCGTAATCACTGAACTGCAAGTACGCTGACGGGGACGGTGGTATCGCATGCCAAACTGGAGTCCGCGCAATTTTCAAAAGATGCTCAAATACTCCTATTCGTCCTTTTTGTTATAGGATCCTCTCACCCCGGCAAGATAATATCAAATTTGCTAAAAGCTGCCAAAGGCCTGCAGAAGACGTAACATCACAGAATATCACAGGTTTGCCTTTTAGCTCCATTTTTACGTCATTGGTAGCTGACAGGTTTGCCTTTCTAATGGTTTGACAAAATAGTGTCTGAATATGACCAAAATAGTAAATCATGCGAATCTCAGCCTCAGAAGTTCCTTCACTGATGGTTGAAACCTAAATATTAATTAATATAATCGGAGTTGATGTCGGAATCGACGGTGCGTCGGATGTAATAACTGGATTGAATGAGTGAGAATGCTTAATTTTGCGGTTTCAAGCATACTAAAGCAGTGAGACGTATGAGATGCTTTAAGAAACTACGAACCATAAATGCAATGTGCTGTGGATCATTAAAAAGGGATAGGCATGATGCCGTTGGAAGTGACAATGCAAATCTTAGAAAATCTCACAATTAAAGGCGAGGTTAACACCAAACAGCACTCTGTTTTCGAGGACAGTGTCTGGAGACCACACGAACGGCTAATAAATTTGTAAAATAACGTATATTTTGTGAGTGGTGTCTAAGAAAATATATCTGAATTTGTGAACTATCGAAAACCAATGCGAAAAATACCTGCCAATGAAATAAACACCTTTTACCGAGTGCAGTTTTTAAAGGAGATCGAAGGGAAATGCATTCGCATTATAAGCAATATCACAACTCAACCTAACTAATCCTTTCTAACTGAAAAACCGTTTAAAAAATTCAGCTAACTTTTCATGAACTCGGTCTCTCACAGCGTACACATACTTTGCGTACATATACATAGGTGCACATGCATATCGTTTTTACACAAATGCCGAAGGAAGAAGATTTTGCCAAAATCTGTCCAAATAAAACCTGCCATTAGAACTACTCAAGGATATCAAATTGCATTACGTTGCGGCCAAAATATGCTTGGAGCCTTTATATCCAGTGCTCACTTCAGACTTCAGAAATGCCAAGCTTCTAAAGAACAGCATGCGCAATTCTGCCGAAATAATCTCTCTTTAGAAGTAGTTGAATCTCTAAACGAAACGATTGCCTGCGTTTCCAACATCGAAAGACAGAAAAAAAGAAGTATCTTAGACAAAAAATGGATGGCCATCTCTCAGCGAATTCCTACAAACCAAACTTGCTCGACGAAGGTAGTGAACCTATCAGCAACAAAACTTACAACGACCGAAGAAAATGTACTTTCTATCGGAATGAAATATAATCCATCCGATGCGAAAGACCTAAACTTCCTTGCAAACTTGGAGCCTATAAAATTAGCAGAAAATCTTACGGACGATGAAGGTTTCACAATCCGGAATAGCACTGTACATGCCTTTAAGAACCGAAATCCATTTTCGGTACCATCACAAGAGGAAAGGAAAGCACTTAAAGCATTAAAAAGTGACAAAAGCATTGTCTTACTTCCTGCGGACAAAGGTGGGTCAACTGCAATTTTAAACAAAGCAGACTACAAAGAAAAGATGTTAGTATTATTAAAGGATAGATCAAAATCCAAACCTCTTACCACGGACCCTAATAAAGCGCAGAATACGGCCACTAAAAAAGTTCTAAAATGTCTTACAGGAAAGAAACAAATATCAGGAGATATTGCCAAATCCTTACGACAAACTGAATCAGTCATTGCTAAGATCTATGGACTACCCAAGATTCACAAACCTGAAGTACCACTGCGACCAATAGTATCGTTAATCGGTGCACCTAATTACAAGATTTCTAAATGGCTATTCCACAAACTCTATCCGTTGACAAAGGATTGTGAAACATCAATCAATAATTCAGCAGAAATTCTGGACAAATTGCAAGGACTGAGAATCGCAGCAGATTAAATAATGGTATCCTTCGATGTCGTATCTCTGTTCACCTCAATACCATTGGATTTAGCAAGACAATGTACAGAGGAACTTCTCCAGTACTACGACATGGATATCCCTGCATCTGCTTTACTTGAACTCTTAGACCTTTGTCTAGAAACGAACTTTTCATTTGCGCAGGACTACTATCAACAACTGAAGGGAGCCCCTATGAGATCACCCATCTCTGATTTTCTGGCAGAAGTCACGATGCAGAAATTAGAGGCCATCGCCTTACCACTAGTTAACCCCAAATTATGGGTACGATATGTTGATGATACGTTAGTCATTGTTAAAAGTGATCAACTGGCAATACTCCACAATATTATTAACTCAACACTTCCAGGAATCACATTCACACTCGAGAAAGAGGCTGACAACAAACTCCCTTTTCTTGATGTCCTCGTACAGAGAAAGCCTGACGGGAAATTTCACACTTCGGTTTACCGCAAAGAAACCTACGCGGAAGTTCTTTTGCATTACGAGAGCAATTACCCGATCTCTCACAAACGGAGTGCCGTGAAAGTCTCCTTAACCGAGCAAGAACCCACTGCTCTGACAACGAAACACGTCAAACAGAACTGAATTATTTGTTCAAACTATTTTCCCATAATGGGTATCCTAGATATTTTGTACACCGATGCATGCGACGACAGGAGTTAAAAGAAAAAGAGAAGGAACTAGATTGTTCCGATCAGGCGCCCAAACCTAAAACCTGGCGAACACTTCCATACACTAAGAATGTGTCTGAACTAGTTGAAAGACACCTGAGGAAGCACCAGATACATGTGGCGCACAAACCGACGACTACACTTCGTAACCAGCTTGTACACCCTAAGGATAGGGTTGGCTATTTAGATAAGAAGGTAGTCGTCTATAAGATACCATGCAACACCTGTAATGCGGTTTACTGTGGCCAAACCGGGAAATCGGCCTCTACACGAATACACGAACATCAGTTGGCCGTAAAAAGGCGAGACTACTTGTCCCAAGTTGCCATGCATACTTTAGAAACCGGACACAAATTCGCCTGGGAAAGGGCCCGCATTGTAGGTGTCTGTTCATCTAAAAAGGGCCGTGAATTTTTGGAGGCCATCCATTCTGATAACGCATGCCTCAATAGACACGTAGAATTGGATACGGTGTACAACAGCCTCAAGGAAAAGTGGAAAAGGCATTTGCCAATCAGAGTAAGACACCAGCAGGAATGACAAGGCAAACTCGATTTTTCGGCATGTTTAAATTTGACTGTTTTGCACATTTATTCCACGTCTGAAGACGACTTGGGGAACCAAGATCGGAAATTTATAATAAACCTTGTTAATCTTTCCCAAAGAGCTTATTTCTTTCGAAATATGATTCTTGGGATGCCTGTTTTCAAATTCATACCTATACATATATATGTATATGCATATATATGTATGTATATATGTATATGTATGTATATGTATATATGTATATACATGTATATGAGAAGATAAGGCGATCACAAGAACCATGGATTTATTTGCCTGACGTTTCGAAAGCAAACAAGCTTCCATCATCGGAGGTGGGTTGCGTACTGCACGTCACAGTATCTAAGGGTTTTTCTTTCGTGCTGGCGTGTCACTGACTTCCAGCGCGCTGCATCACACGGTATGGCGATGGTTGTCATGGCGACATCGGTTTCTCCTCATCCTTTGTCGGGTGTGGGGAGGGGGGCGGTGCCGGGGTGACAGCGGCCATTGCTCTTGTTTGTATTGTCCGTTGTCCGCCCTCGACGCATCTCGCCTTCCTGCCCCGTTCGCACCTGCCCGTATCCGCGTGGACGGTGGTTGTCATGCCACTGTTGACGTCGGCCTGGGGGGTCCTGTCGCTGTCGGGGGATCTCGTCTCGCTGTCCCGTTCACACCTGCCCGTAGCCGTGTTCACGGTGGTTGTCATGCCAGGGTTGACGTCGGGCTGGGGGGGTTTGTCACTGTCGGGCGTTCTCATCGAGTGCTGGCGTCTGTCCGCGTTCGGACCCAGAAGGCGGTCTCCTGGGTTTGCGTTCGCCGCCGGTTGTCCCCCGGTTTCGTCCGTTCCCGGTGCCTGTCTATGCCCGTCCACGTTCCCGCTTGGTCCGGGTTTGATTACTGCCGTCTCTGGCCTGACGAACCGTCAGTAGCCCTGCCTATTGAACTTCACCCGTAGGGTTTGGTAGGCAGCCGGCAGAGTTACGCATCGGTTGATTGAGGTAGTTGTGGTGTGCCAGGCTTCGAGTGTCTCCCTGACCGTTTGATAGCTCCTTTGGCCCAAGACTTCGGCGTCTTGGAAGGCGAAGGCGTGGCCAAAAGCTGCGCAATGTTCTGCCACCAACGAGAGCTGATCCATTCTTCCTACCGCTCTTGCGTGCTCGTCCATGCGGGTCTGCAATCTCTTCCCGGTTTCTCCAACGTAGTTTGCCTCGCAGGAACTACACGGGATCCGGTAGACGACGTTGGCAGTTTCGCCTCGTAGCAGAGGCGTTTTTGGTCTCATGACCAAACGTCTAATTGTCGCTTCGGGTTTGTGGGCGATGCCGATACCCAATGGTTGCAAGATACGAGCAACTGCCTCGGAAACGTTCGCAATATATGGCAGCGCTCGCCAGACTTTCGGCTGATTTGCCGCTGACTTTACGGTTGCTCTGGACTGTCTGCTGCGTTCTATGAAGCTGCGGGGGTAACCGTTGGAGGTGAACATCCGCTGTAGATAGTGGAGTTCGGCTACCTTGTCGGTCGGTTCGCTGCAGTGAGTGTCAACTCTCCTGTAGAGAGATCGAACACAGCTTCGTTTGTGACACAGCGGGTGATTGCTGTGGTAGGACAGGATTTGGCGAGTGTTAGTGGCCTTCCTGTAGACCGTGATATTCAGGCTCCCGTTGACCTTGCGATGGACCAGAACGTCTAGAAACGCGATCTGATTGTTGTTCTCTGTCCTTATGGTGAATTGAATATCGGGAAGAACAGAGTTCAGTAGCGCGTGGAAATTCGAGACCATTTCCCGTTTGAGAACGACGAAAGTGTCGTCCACATACCGCGCCAAAAATTTTGGCTTATATGTTGCGAACACTAACGTCTCCAACTTTTGAAGAGCAGCTTCAGCGATGAAACCGGATAGTGGTGAGCCCATCGGCGTACCTTTGATTTGTTCGTACACAGTCCCTTCAAATGTGAAGAACGTTTGGAGACAGTATTTAAGCAGCTGCACCAGGTGCCCCCTCCTAGGGGTATTGTTTGCCTCCATGTATATATATGTATATGTGTATGTGTGTATGTATGTGTATGTGCCCTCTGGGGTGTAGGGGTGTCAGCGGTGGGTCCACGTGGTGGTCGTAGTGGTCGCTCACCTGCTTGCAGGTGAGACTACGCCTAGCGTCCATTTGCTGGCACCTAACTCTCACCTGTGGCTCCACGTAGCTGGGCCCTGCCCAGCGGCCACACCCCGGGCAACCGTCTCGACCGGCGGGCTAAACCAGGTGAGGGTATCCGTGCGTGCACCTGCACGCGCGGTACTGCGGTCTGCGCTGGCCGGATGGATCTTCGCGTCGACATCGTCGAGACGAGGCTCTGCCTGGACCATCGTAGGCGGCCACCAGGTAAGTTTCCCCTCAGGTAAGTGCGCTTGCTTTGTTTCTTCCTTTTGTTTGTTGAAGTTCCGCGTCGTACGCTGCGCTTGCTGCCTGCCCTTTATATGCTAGTCTGTCTGTTAATAGCTAAACGACACCCTCGATGCCTGCTGCGATTGTCTGTCCGTCAGTCTATGCCACTCTCTACTAATAGCTAGGTGTTACGGTGCCTGACTTTGTGTGGTGCCCTCACTTTGTCTCTGACTGGTGACTGTGTCCGCTTGTCCACTCTAGTTCTAAGTCCCATAGCGTTAGGTAGTGTGTATGCTCTCTCCTACTTCACTCCATCACATCATCACCTCACCACCAAGGTCCCAGGCTAATTCGGGTCGTTCTCTCACTAACAAAAAGTCGTGGCCCATAGTGGAGTCCGGCAGCCGTCTGGGATAACCGGGCAGCCCTGTTCAGGGATGCGTTGCCTGCCCCCGCGAGGGGGAGGGGGCTAGAAAAGGTGCCCTAAAGATCGCTGGGAACCACGCTGTCTGTAGGCTGGCCGTGGCCGCAGACAAAAAACACACGGTCGAAACAGCCAAAACCGAAACAACAACAACAACAATCACTCTCTATCTCTTCCAGCCTATTCTTCTTCTTCGTCTCCTACTCCTACTTTTCGCCGCCGCAGTCGCCAGACTGGCAGGGTGAGCCCGCTCACTCTGGCAGCCTGGAATGTTCGTTCCCTTTTAGACAATCCGAGGAGCAACCGACCGGAACGGAGGACGGCGCTAGTGGCACGAGAACTGGCGCGCTACAAGGTGGACATCGCCGCACTCAGCGAGACCCGATTCTCCGAACAAGGCCAACTGGAGGAGGTGGGTGCCGGCTACACCTTCTTCTGGAGTGGTCGACCCAAGGCAGAGCGACGAGACGCGGGTGTCGCCTTCGCCATCCGGAACGACATCGTGGGACGACTACCCTGTTTGCCGCAGGGTATCAACGATCGCCTGATGAGCCTCCGTCTGCCTCTGCGGGGTGGGGGCAAATTCGCCACAATCATCAGCGCCTACGCTCCGCCGATGAGCAGCCCCGACGCCGCCGCAAGAGACAAGTTCAACGAGGACCTGCACGCTCTTTTGGCGACTGTGTCGAAGGCGGACAAGTTGATTGTCCTTGGTGACTTCAACGCCCGCGTCGGCACAGACCATACTGCCTGGAGGGGAGTGCTGGGTCCTCACGGTCTCCGCGGCTCCAACGACAACGGCCTCCTGCTCCTCCGCACCTGCGCAGAACACCGCCTCATCCTGACGAACATGCTCTTCTGTCTGCCGGAGCGAGAGAAGGCCACCTGGAGGCATCCTCGGTCGCGTCAGTGGCACCTGCTGGACTATGTCCTCGTCCGGAGGCGAGATCAGCGGGACGTGCTGGTGACGAAGGCGATCGCAGCTGCTGACGGGTGGACCGACCATCGCCTCGTCATCTCGAAGATGCGTATTCACCTACAGCCTCGCAGGAGACCACAAGGTAAGCGACCCCCAGGTAAGCTGAATGTTGCTTTGTCGTCTTTGCCTGCTCACCGTCTCCATTTCAGCAATGAGCTAGCTCAACGGCTAGACAATCTTCCTATCCCTGCCGCCGCCGACGACGCCGCCGCCGCCGCTGCCGAGAACGCCTCCGTGGAGAACCGCTGGTGTCAACTGCGTGACACAGTCCAATCGACGGCGCTCGCCGTCCTCGGTCGCGCTCCCCGCCAACACCAGGACTGGTTCGACGACAACGACGCCGCCATCAGCAATCTGCTTGCCGAGAAGAACCGCCTACACAAAGCCTACGTAGATCATCCCACTGAGGACAACAAAGCTGCCCTTTACCGCAGTCGCCGACAGCTTCAGCAACGACTGCGCGAGATGCAGGACGCCTGGACTGCTCGCAAAGCTGAGGAGATCCAAGGCTATGCGGACCGCAACGAATGGAAGAACTTCTTCTCCGCGATCAAAGTTGTCTACGGTCCGCCGACAAAGGGCACTGCTCCTCTCCTCAGTGCCGACGGCAGCACTCTCCTGACTGAGAAGACGCAAATCCTACAGCGATGGGCCGAGCACTTCCGAGGCGTCCTCAACCGCCCTTCCGTCATCTCCGACGCCGCCATCGCCCGCTTGCCGCAAGTGGTGACCAACGCGGACCTCGACCTCCCGCCATCTCTCCAGGAAACCATCAGGGCCGTGCAGCAACTCTCCAGCGGGAAAGCACCCGGATCGGACGCAATCCCTGCTGAGGTCTACAAGCACGGAGGTCCCCTACTGATGGATCACCTGACTGCGCTCTTCCAGGAGATGTGGCGTCAAGGTGAAGTCCCGCAAGATTTCAAGGACGCAACTATCGTGCACCTTTACAAGCGAAAAGGGAATCGCCAAGTCTGCGACAACCACCGCGGCATCTCCCTATTTAACATCGCCGGGAAGATCTTCGCTCACATCCTTCTCAACCGCCTCAACAGCCATCTGGAACAGGGCCTTCTGCCGGAAAGCCAATGCGGCTTCCGTCGTCATCGTGGGACCACGGATATGATCTTCGCCGCCCGCCAACTCCAGGAGAAGTGCCAGGAGATGCGGACCCACCTGTACTCTACATTCGTGGACCTGACGAAAGCCTTCGACACGGTGAATCGTGAAGGACTGTGGAAGATCATGCAGAAGTTCGGCTGTCCGGAGCGATTCACTCAGATGGTGCGTCAGCTGCACGACGGTATGATGGCGCGAGTCACGGACAACGGAGCTGTCTCAGAGGCATTCGCAGTGACCAACGGAGTGAAGCGGGGATGCGTGCTGGCACCAACCCTCTTCAGTCTTATGTTCTCTGCCGTGCTGATGGACGCCTACCGCGACGAACGCCCTGGAATCTGCATCGCCTACAGAACGGACGGTCATCTCCTGAATCACCGGCGCATGAACTTCCAATCGCGTGTATCCACAGCCACCGTGCACGAACTCCTCTTCGCCGACGACTGCGCCCTGAACACCACCTCGGAAGAGGAGATGCAACGCAGCATGGACCTATTCTCCGCCGCCTGCGAGAACTTTGGGCTGGTTATCAACACGCAGAAGACGGTGGTGATGCATCAGCCGCTACCCAACTCAGCCACAGGCCCCAACGCGCCGCCGCAAATCAGCGTGAACGGAAATCAACTGCAAGTGGTGGAGAACTTCCCGTATCTGGGCAGTACCCTCTCCCGCAACACCAAGATTGATGACGAAGTCGCCAACAGGATCTCGAAAGCCAGTCAAGCCTTCGAACGCCTCCGAAGCACAGTTTGGAATCGCCACGGTCTCCAACTGCGCACGAAACTGAAGATGTACAAGGCCGTCATCCTGCCGACGTTACTGTACGGAGCAGAGACATGGACGGTGTACACGAGGCAGGCACGCCGACTAAACCACTTCCACCTCAGTTGTCTCCGTCGCATCCTGAGGCTAAACTGGCAGGATCGAATCCCCGACACGGAAGTACTGGAACGAACGGGAATCCTCAGCATCTACGCCATACTGAAACAAATGCAGCTGCGCTGGAGCGGCCACCTGGTGCGCATGGACGATGAGCGACTACCCAAACGACTCTTCTACGGAGACGTCGCGACGGGTTCTCGTCGTCAAGGAGGCCAAATTCGCCGTTACAAGGATACCTTGAAGTCCTCCCTGAAGCGCCTGCAAATCAACCCGACCAACTGGGAAGAGCTCGCTCGCGATCGTCCGACATGGAGGAGAACAGTGAAGACGGGCGCTGCTGTCTATGAAGCCAACCGAATCGCCGCCGCCAAAGTGAAACGCGAAGCCCGCAAATCACAACTTCGCCCAGTCCGCAACGCCGCCGCACAACCTCTCCCTACGTGTCCTCGATGCCACCGGACATTCCGGGCACGAATCGGACTTGTTGGACATCTTCGGATCAACTGCACCTCTCGAACTGCTCCAGCCATCGTCCCCCCGCCCGCCTCTTCCTCGTCATCTCTTCCGCCAACTAACTCTGACACTCCTTCTGCATCACCACTTCCATCCTCCTCCTTCTCCTCCACTGCCCCAGCGGTGGCCGTTCAGACTGCCGTCTCACACATCACCAACCCCAACACAACAACCGACATCACCTCTCCCACCTCTCCCGATACCGCTGATGAGGTTCAGGATTACACCTGCCCTCACTGTGACCGCAACTTCACCTCACACATCGGCCTGGTCGGTCACTTGCGAATCCATCGCACAGAGACTGGCGAACCAGTGTCTGGAGCACCAACCTACACCCACCGCACTCGCCTCCACTGCCCACACTGCCCTCGCACCTTCCGGCATCGCATGGGCCTATTCGGCCACATGTGCATCCACGAAAGCGGAATTGACCGCAGCCTTGACACACCCACCCCGCCGAGCCCCACTCCCAATCCACCACCTTGTGTACCCACTAACCACTCCCCAACCGACATCGACGCCACCGACATCGACGCCACCGACATCGACGCCACCGACATTACCACCTCCCACTCCTCCCCTTCCTCCTCTTCCTCCATTACTTCCACAACGACGACCGCTTCGGCGTCTGTCGCCCACTGCCTCCCCACAGCCGAACCTGACACAACAACAGGCACAACCCCTGCAACCTCCATCATCAGACGTGAGGGCCAGGACTACATCTGCCCTCACTGCGATCGCACCTTCACTTCACGCATCGGCCTGGTCGGACACTTGCGAATCCATCGCACAGAGACTGGCGAACCAGTGCCTGGAGCACCAACCTACACTCACCGCATTCGCCTCCACTGCCCACACTGCCCTCGCACCTTCAGGCATCGCATGGGTCTATTCGGCCACATGCGCATCCACGACGACCTGCGGTAGACAACCGCCGGTCACACCACACATTCCTCACTCCCTACCTCCTAACACCATCACCCCACCAGACATCAACCCTCACACACCTCATGCACTCAACTGCCGCCTCCCACGCAAGTGGGAAGTGTGCATCTCGACTCGGTCCCCATGCGGTTCGGCTGCACGGGTGACTTGTGTCCAAGACTATCCCGACACGTCAAGTGTCGTGGATAGGAAGGTTGCTGATTGAGGCACGCTCTCGGTTCACGCAGTCCGTCACGTTGTGTGTGTGTTGTGTGGAGTGGCGGACTGGTGGGCTGGGGACGGGCTGCAACAGCACCTTCCACGGCACTCTCACGCAAGTGAGAGACACGCCGTTCAACCCCCGCTGTGTGAAATCCTGGTGTTTGTGTGTATGGGGGGCCAGGTCGTGCTGTGGCGCGCGCAGGCATGGTCAGTCGACCATGTCAGCCACCGCGCCCACTACCCACCCCAGTCTACTGACCGGCTCGGACAGTGGCTGGGGTGTGGGAATGGGAAGGGAGAGTGAGCTCAACGACTCAGCGCATTTTCCTCACTATAATCAATCTGACGCGCTTGAAGCTATCACGGTGCGCTAAAAGCCGTGGCTTGGAAGGTTGCCAACTGACGGGGCACCTTGGACCTCCTCCTTCACTGGAGGTGGTCTGAGAGTCAGGCTGCAATGGCTCCTTTTTAATGTGGCTTTTATGGCATTCCCACCACAGTGTGGGATCCGAGCCAGGCGTTGGCGGCACGCCCAGGTGCGGCTTCGGCCGTGCCAGCCTCCAAATCTCTGTTGTGTTGGTTGCAATCCTGGTTATTGTTGTGTGAACCAGGGGGTGTGGTGGAACGCCAAGGTGAGGATCCGTCCGAGCCATCCACCTGCGGCCTCCCTCGTCTCCGGTCTTCTTGACTCTGTCTTGACACCGGGCCCAGGCGGGGGAGGAGGAGAGAGTGTAGGTAGATGCAGCGCAAGTCTACCCGCACTATAAACCCCTGCGCAAGTAACCATCCCTGCTCCCACCGCAGCTGCAGCTGTGGGGCACACGGTGGACATCGTCGAAATCGACGGTCGAACTGTCGTATGTGCCCTCTGAACGGGCCACGTGTTGGATGCGCTGGACCAACACGGGGGCCACATCGGACACTGGCAGGCGTTATCTGTGCGCAAAAACAAATGCCAACATTATTGGGTTGCGCTGGCGGAGCCTGTTGTCGGCTTTAGTCGCACAACTGGACCACTGTCACCACCCCATTATTTTGTGGCCAAAATCCTGGTCATTTGTGTGTGGACCAGGGGGTGCGGAGTGGAGCGCCAAAGCGAGGATCCGTCCGAGCCATCCACCTGCGGCCTCCCCCATCTCCGGTCTTCTTGACTTGGTCTTGACACCGGGCTCAGGCGGGGGAGGAGGAGGAGAGAGTATAGGTAGATGCTACGCAAGTCTACTAGCACTATAAACCCCTGCGTAAGTCACCGTCCCTGCTCCCACAATGCAGTCTGTGGGGCACACGGTGGACATCGTCGAACTGTCTTATGTTTGTGTATGTATGTATGTGTATGTGTGTGTATGTGTATGTGTATGTATGTATGTATGTGTATGTATGTGTATATATATATGTATATGTCGAAGTCGAATGTGTGCTTTGGGAAAGGAAGTTTATTGTGCAAATTTTTGACGCCGGTTCCCCGAGTCGTCGTCAGGCACAGACGGAAAGCAAATGCGCCAACACAGCTAACATCTTAAGTGCACGTAAAAAAATCTCTAATCGCCTGACGCTCACGCCAGTAAGCGGCCGTCGTGTTTGTCAGTCCGTTCTAATTGGTCCCCGCCTCTTCCATCTCTCCTTGAGATTTCTGTACGCGGCATCCAACTCGATGTGCGTGTTGATGCATGATTCGTCTGAGTGCATGGCCTCAAGGAACTCTCGGCCTTTCTTTGAGGGGCACACAGCGACAATGCGAGTTTTTTCCCAAGCGAAAGTGTGTCCAGTGTCCAGGGTGTGCATGGCCACTTGAGATAGATGGTCTCGCCTCTTCACTGCCAACTGGTGTTAGTGGATGCGTGTAGAGGCGCGTTTTCCAGTCTGGCCACAATAGACGGCATCAAATGCTTCACAAGGGATCTTGTAAATGACTTCTTTTTTGTCCAAATAGGTAACCTTATCTTTAGGGTTCACGAGCTGAGTGCGCAGAGTAGTCGTCGGTCTGTGCGCCACCTGAATTTGGTGCTTCCTTAAGTGTCTTTCAACGAGTTCGGACACATTTTTAATGTAAGGAAGTGTTCGCCAAGTTTTCGGTTCGGCCGTCTGATTTGGGCTACCTGGCTCCTTTCTCTCCGACTCTTTCTGCCTCATGCATCGGCTCACAAAATCTCTAGGGTACCCATTCCGCGAAAACAATTCACACAAGAATTTTAGTTCGTCTTGATAACCTTCTTCATCAGAGCAATGTGTTTTTGCTCGATTAAGCAGACTTTTGACAGCACCCCGTTTGTGATAAATTGGCTGATTGCTCTCGTAAGGTAGAATGATTTCCGCGTAAGTGTCTTTAAGGTAAACTGACGTACGTAGTGTTCCGTCAGTCTTTCGTTGTACGAGAACATCCAGGAAAGGCAGTTAACTGTCGACTTCCTTTTCGAGTGTGAACGTAATCCCCGGAATCGTCGAGTTTATATTGTTGTGGAGGGCTTTCAATTGCTCTTTTTTAACGATAACAAACGTTTCATCGACATATCACAGCCACAACTTAGGTTTAATTGACGGAAGAGCCGTAGTCTCCACATTCTGCATTTTGACTTCGGCGAGAAAACCAGAAATTGGGGACCAATATATGTATATATGTATATATATATATATATATATATATATATATATATATGTATACATATACGTATACATATATACATATATCACATATTTTCATATGTGATTTTGAGTGTGATCACCGCTTCAAATGGGAGGGGACGGAAGCAATCGCCAACGTCAAAACTAAACAGAAGCCACAATTTTTAAAAGCTTGGCACTCCAACAACAATAGCATCAACTGCCAAGTCGACCTGGATGACCATTACGAAGGTTTGCGTTCACGGCTCATGGACTTGCGCCCATCGTAAGACGCCAGCCGCTAGTGCGGGTTCGACCATGTAGAATATCACGGATTTCCTACTTTCTCGAAAGAGTGAACCACAACTGGAACTCTTAAAACCTTCCGACGCCAACCTAAACGCATCATTCCCCTAAGCGCATAGACGTCTGTAATTTCGATGAATTCCCCTCTATTCCTCTGTGCGATTATCCCTCGCCACACTATTTACTTCGTCTAAAGACGGGCTGGCGCAAACGATATGACAGTTTTCGAGTGCATAACGAACCTTTTTATTTTATTTAATATATATCTCCTCTTGTTCCCATATACATGCAGAATGGTATTACCGACAAAGACAAGAGGGATAAAAATGGCCATTTCTGGCTTATCAGTCGTCGTCAGCCAGTCATACCCAATCCCGAAGTGTGGAACACCCGAGGCTCGAACTCGCGACCTGTTTGTTAGAAGTCCACGTCTCTAACCACTGGGCCACGAGCTTGGTGCCTTGTCGGTTTTCGATCGGGAATATACAATGATAGGGGCACTCATCGATCGTTCGTATAGAACTCACTCGTGCCGATGTGCCTTACGGGCTCTCTCTCTCCATTCCTTTGGTCGGTAATACCATTCTGCCTATACCATGCACCGCTGTGCGGCTGCTGGTTGGGCTCGAGAGAGAGCCCGCAAGGCAAAACGGAACGAGAAAATTCCGTAAGAACGGTCAGTGATCGCCCCCCACCATTATATATACATATGATATGACAAATGGGCGCACATGTCGTACATGTCGTGTGTCGTTTTAATGCTTAAAATTTGCAAAGGGCCACATAGTGACCCGAAGCATATTTTGATAACATATCTCAGCCAAAACCGAGCGAACGTGAAGTGGTCATTTCTGGCTTATTGGCCGTCACTTATCACTCAAGCACAACCGCTGGTGTATATTGCCTGAGATTTAAACCCGGAACCTTTACTCGCTGACAGCAACATTCTGCCATTGAGTCATGGCCCTGTTTTCCCGTCATTTGTGACCGGGAATACTAATTCTGATGGAGGGGCGCTCGCCGATAGTACCGTGAATACGCACACATTCATGATCCTTGTGAGACAGCCAACTGTTATCTCGATCGTGTCCCAAGCCACTAGAGAACAGGTGGGTCCGTAATACGGCCGGTCAACGCCCACTACCACATATATATATATATATATATATATATTAATGACTAAAGTGAGGCGGGATAAGTTAGAATCAATACTGTATCTGCATTCCATGTCGTCTTCACGCTCCGCCATCCTATGTTATTCAAATTCGACCGAACGGTTGGTTGCATGTTCCCGACGCTTCAAGCCCATCCGGAACTCCATTGCTAAGGGAATTGGAAAGGCAGGTGCGAACTCATTTCTGATTGAAAATATGCCTTATTTGCAGGGACAGAAAATGACCCATTTGTTCGCCGCAATCTATGCAATATGCGCGTTATCTGCACGACACTATGTCTGGGTTTCTGGTCATAGTTGATGGTTTTAATTACAACTGTGGGAGTGAAGGCTGAATTATGCTGAAACAGTACCGAATCTATCTGCTCGCATTTTTGGCGTCTCTGTTACTTGCGTATATGTATATATATATATATATATATATATATGATAGTGGGCGCTCACCGATCAGGTTACGGAGCATGCTCGTTCCGTTGTGCCTTGGGGCTCATACTTAAACCCTCGCAGGCAGTCGCACAGCGACTAGTGATATATGTTGGAAAGGTAATACCGACAAAGACAAGGGAGACCGGAATGGCCATTTCTGGCTTATTAGCCGTCATCAGCCAGTCATACCCAACCCCGTGGCTCAATGGTAGAGCGTTCAACTCCATGACCAAAGATCCCGGGTTCGAATCTCAAGTGATCCACACTTGGGGTTGGG